CGTAAGCTGTCAAAAGGAGAAGTTCAGTGATGAACATACATAGCTATAAGATTATAATTTATTTTTTATTATGCGGTAGACAAACAGCACCAGAGGAGCAAACTGGCTTGAGGCACGAGAAGAGAAGGCGACATTTCTTGCTTCATCATAATATCCACTTCTCAAGCAGAAATATATCTGTTTGCACAAAAATAATAAACTTATGAGACAAAGTTGTATCTAAGAATATAAGCAGAGTTCAAAAGTTTATTAATACACAGGTGCAGAACTTGACACCAGTATAATTAACCAGCTATTTCATATTTAAAACAGGAAGATAGCAGAAAACAATTCATAGGAGTAGCAAATAAATCATACAAAAACCCTAAACTACAAGCACCATGTAACAATAGCACATTTTGCCAAATCTTATTCTCTACAAAATTCCCAATTATGATTCGATTCATCATAAATGTTATGTACCAAGAATTAAAAATTTTGAGATTTAATGAATTTATCAACCTGCTGCCAAGTAGTATCAACCGGAGGCTGCCTACGAGCATCACCTGCATCAAAATCTAGAACCCCATAATCTCGTAAGCGAATCTGCATAGATGAACAAAACCAGAAACTGTAAATAGAAGACAAAGAAGTCCAACAGAAATTTCAATCGAAAATTATTAACAGGACAAACCCGAAGAAAGGCACGGACTCTATGCAGATTGCCAACAGATCCTCCTAGTGCAGCCTGTGATAATATCACAAAGATGAAAGAAGATATGAGTTCTAAACAAAATGGCCACAGTTGATAGTTTATTGATCTTATTCAGAGAGAGAGAGAAAAAAAAAAAGAAAAAAGAGCCAATGCAGAAGATACTCGAGAGTCAATAAGAAAATTTTAGAGGGTCACCTAGAAAGCATCACAACTCCAAAATTCCCATTAGACAGGGAACTAATATTAAGTTCACATGGAGCAACAGAGGCAATAAACTATAGATTATATTCTAAATAACCTAAAGGTCATGCTAGATTTTTTTTCTTTAAAGATAAAGGTCATGCTAGATAATTTGAATCTTCTCTCAAAAATTTCTAATCAGGTAGGGGGAAAGGTGATCAAAGATAGGATTAGGTGAAATAATTACTTGTGTAGGATGACTTTGAATGGTATCCATCATATATTTCTCATGCCCCCGTTCCAGATGGCGCCTTGCACCAATTACTAGAGACATCTTTCTGGAGACACTTTGCTGGATATTCGAATCTTCACCCATCATTGTCTGTCAGATTGTTAAATGCAACAACATTCATATAAGAGAGAAAATCCTAAGAGATAGTCACAAGTTATCGAGTTAGTAGTAGCATTTGCTAAGAAGCACATCTGAATACCTGAGACTTTTTCTTGGTGGGGGGAGCAGAAGCTTACCTGTATAAGATGCCATATCTTCTGCATGTTAACTGACTTTCCATGAGATGCTTCAAGCCCCAAACTCTCATAAGCACCTTTGAAAGCTGTGGCAGGCTATATAACATATAAGAGTTTTTGAGATAAAAGTTAGAAACAAATTTTGGAAAAAAGCAATTGAATAAAACAAATTTTGGAGAATCTTGTCAGGAAAAAAGAAAGTGTAAGGTTGACTCCTAGCAAGAGTCTAAACTACAGCACAAATAGCTTCAGTAAGCAGCACTACATCACAAATAAATCTAATCAACTTCAAATAAGCAACTTAATAGATGCATTGAAGCTGAATGAGAACTTATTTGCACCAAGGATAAATAACTAGCCTTACTTTAAATGGTAAGCCTTGCTCCCTTGAATTATTCAGATTTTTGACAACTTCAGCATAAACTGATGCTTTTTTTTCATGGATAGGCTTGTTAGCTAAAGGTATAAGCTCCATCCTGGGACTTGCTGAAACCTGAGGACTGGAGGCCATGGATACTATCTGACCAGGACGGCTGCCCATATTGCCTGCATCAATCATATTAGTCTTTGGTAATGTTGAAATTCGGCTA